GTGCGACTCCGCCGGCTTCATCGGGCTCAAGGTGCCCAACGTGCAGCCCGTGCACAACGTCGTCAACATGGCCTTTTCCGTCATTGCCGTCCCGTCCGTCATCTCACCACATTGGCCCGGATGCAGTGGAGGCAGAGTAGATCGACGGGTGAATCGGCAGAGTGTGGCCGGTCTCCCTCTTCCCCCCCTCCCCCTCCCTCCCTCCCCCCCTCGCGTCACCTCCCCCCCAGGCGGCCGTCTTCGACCGCGTGAAGCGGCAGACGCCCAACTATTCGCTGCGTATGTCCGACCTCGCCGCCGCGTGCGTGCGGCCGCAGATCACAAACATCGAGCAGCGCATCGCGCGCTACAACGAGATGTACGAGCGAATCACGTCGCAGATCGCCGACGTGCCTCCGACGCCCCGCCGGTTGCGACCTGCAGGCGGCGTCTCCTCACACCGCCGCGCGTGTGCGCAGGTGGCCGAGTTCGACATCCCGCCCTACGACGAGCGCGTCCGACCGGTCAAGGACTCGCTGCAGATCAACCTGCAGATGAGCGACGAGCAGGTTGGCGCCTTCCTCGCCGCGACCAAGCGGCGCGGCATCCCGGCCGGCCTCTTCGGCTCGCCCGACAACGCGCGCAACTTCCGCTGCTGGGAGTACGCGCTCCCCAAGACGGACCTCCCGCGCACCGAGCGCCTCATCAAGATCGCCATCGACATCCGCCTGCCGGCAACCTTTGAGCCGGAGGACTTTGACCAGATGGCGGCCGTCCTCCGCGCCGCGCGCGACGACGTGATGCTTGCCTGAAGGGGCGACGAGGCTTGAAGGGGCGGCCCGGCCGCTGCCGCACCGCCGCCCTCCCTCCCTCTTGGGGGCCTCTCATTATGGGGCCTCTGATGCTCGACAGCGCGAGGCCCGCTGTCCCACTCCCGGACCAAAGCCGCGGCTGAGGATCTGCACACTCGTGTCCGGCTATCCTCTCTCTCCCCCCTCTCCCTCTCTCCTCTGGGCCCGTCGCGGCAGTTCGCCGTCAGCGGTCTGCCCGTTCTCTCGACGCCCCACACGACTCTCCCGCGTCTTTGTTGTTCTCTTGTGCCGCCTGTTCGGTATTTGAGTATTTCGTGTTTTGTCAAACAAACATTGCGCGCCCCGATAACGCAGAGCCCGAGGCGACAACGAAAGCGTTCAAAGAAGAGAGAGAGAGCGTGAATTGAAACGTGAAATCTGAAACACTCTGGAATCCTGAGACTCTGCTCTCTGGCACTGGCTGAGAATGGTGAACTGAATGCTGAAACGGCCGGGGGAACACCGACGCACGTGCTACACGACTATTTTGGACGCACGCGCCGGATTCGGTACTTCAGCTTGGTATAGTATCATCGTATTGCAGATCATACCCCAGGGCTATACCCTGATACCCTCTTGAGAGGACCCGCATTGGGCCCCTAGAGGATAGGCTGATACCCTGGTGGGTTACCCTTCACACCGGACACGACCCCCCTCTTCACACCTCTTCGCGCGCTGCGCGCGCGCCAAGACAGACAAACGCGCTCGAATGAGCGTCGCGCAGGAGGGAGGCGAGCGCACCACTAAGCAATGCGCTGGGAGGAGGGCGCTAATGGCGGCCGTCGTCGCGTTTGACGGGCCCGCGGCCGCAGCCGGTGCGGCTGCAGCCGCGCGAGGTGTGAATTGTCGCTTCGCTGCGCGGCCGCCGATGATACCTTGATACCCAGCCGAGATAAGTCCCCACAGAGGCCTAGAGCATACCTTGATACCCCCTCGAGAACAATACGATGATACTATACCAAGCTGAAGTACCGAATCCCGGACTGGCGAGCGGCGGCCAACGCGACGCGGCTGTTTCGCGCGCCCCCTTCCTCAAGTCCAACGAGGAAACAACGCGAAACGACTACATCTAGAGAGAGAGAGAGAGAGAGAATGGCGGCGGCCTCGCGAGCTCGCTCGCTCGACCTCGAGCGAGAGAACGCGAGCGCTGCACGTCAGCCCCAACCTGCTGCGCTCTTCAAGGCCGTCGAGTCGACACTGTTTGTCGAGGCCCAGCGCAACGTGCTGCTGTGCCTACCGACCAAGAGCGGCGCCACGCTGCTGCGCCGCCTGCTCCCCGAGTTTGGCTGGAGCCTGAAACGGGCGCCGCCCGTCACCATTGCGTCCCACGCCTCCTACTTGAAAGTGGCGATTGTGCGCGAGCCGCTCTCGCGGCTGGCGGCAGCATTCGCCTACAAGGCGTCCAAGGTGGCTGCGGCCTCGCGGGAGCGTGGCGACCTCGTCCGATTCCTGAGCACGACGCGGTGGCAGCAGCTCAGCCAGGACCCGCTCCGCATGGATCGACACTTTCAGCCGCAGGTGCTCGCGTGCCGGCCCGACTTGCTGGCGTACGATGTTGTCCTCCGCTTTGAGCGGCTCGAGGCGGACGTGCGAGCCCTGCTCGAGAGGTTGGGGGCCGGCCCGGGGGCGACGGCTCGGCTGCACGCCCTCCTTGAGCGCGTCGCGGCGTGCAGCGACGACTCCTCGTGCGTGCCGAGGGAGAAGCCGGCGACGGACGCCCTCCCCGAGCGCACCCGGCGCGCCCTGCTGCAGCTCTACGGCGGAGACCTGGAGTGGTGGCGGTCGACCGGCGAGGGCGCTGCCGCCGCCGCCGCGCACCTCCAGCCAGCACGCGGGAGGCGGGGCGAGGAGGCGGTCGCGAGAGTGCGGGAAGGGGGGAGGGATCGGAGGTTGGGTGGCTGATCCGAAATAGTAGTGTAACGAGCTGGTGGAACCTATATGGGGAGGTGAGAGTACCAGATTGTGCGCCCGGGGCAGACGCCAGAGCTCCATATGAGAATGACCACGAGCAGAGACGGGGAGACGCACACTCAGCTAGTAACTTCGAGCTAGAGAGAGTAGAGTCCCGCCCGCACTGCGCTCTGCGCGCCCGGCGCAGCTGCCACAGACCGCACGGCCCTGTGAGTGTCCAGGTGCTCAAGGCTAGGGGCTCATATAGTTGTGAGAGCAACCTTCCTGTCATTTTCCTGATAACCCGCGCGGAAAATGCACACGCCTTGTGGAGAGAGAGGGCACTCTGCACTGCGGAGCTCGCGTCCCTATCGATCCCGCTATACCGTAGCCGTATTCACTCCTGGTCGCTGCACTAGAGGTGCCAGGAGACAGTGGACCATGCATAAATCTCTTCACTCTCGGATTCACCTCTCTCCACTCTCGGATACGTTCGAACACAGAGCCCTCCCCCCCTTCACCCTTTTCATCACTGCCCCAGCGCCCACACCTCGATCTTCTTGGGCAGCAGTTGGTTCGCCAGGTCCTCTCCGTGGCCTAGGCAGCCGTCCTCGCCCTTGCCCCAGGTGAAGATAGCGCCGGCGCCGGCGTTGGCGATGCTGTTGCTGTATCCTGCCGACACATCGACGACGCGCTGGCCAGCCAAGGCCTCGACCTTCTTCGGCAGCAGCTGGTTCTGGCGGTCGCCGTGGCCAAGCTCGCCCCAGGCTCCACGGCCCCAGCTCCACACGGCGCCGTCGGCGGTGAGGGCGATGCTGTGCGCGGCTCCAGCCGACACACCGATGGCGCGCTGGCCAGCAAAGGCCTCGACCTTCTTGGGCAGGAGCCGGTTCTGCTCGTCACCGTGGCCCAGCTTGCCATCCTCGCCATCGCCCCAGCTCCAGACGGCACCGTCGGCGGTGAGGGCGAGGCTGTGCGCGGCTCCAGCCGACACAGCGACGGCGCGCTGGCCAGCAAAGGCCTCGACCTTCTTGGGCAGGAGCTGGCGCTGCGTGTCGCCGTGGCCCAATCGGCCTTCGCCTCCATGGCCCCAGCTCCAGACAGCGCCGTCAGTGGTGATGGCGAGGCTGTGGGCAACTCCAGCCGACACAGTGACGACGCGCCGGCCAGTCAAAGCCTCGACCTTCTTGGGCAGCAGCTGGTTCTGCGTGTCGCCGTGGCCCACCTGGCCAAAGTATCCCCAGCCCCAGCTCCAGACGGCGCCGTCAGCGGTGGTGGCGAGGCTGTGGTGGGCTCCAGCGGACACAGCGCTGACGCGCTGGTCAGCAAAGGCCTCGACCTTCTTCGGCTGCAGCTGGTCCTGCTGGTCTTCGTGGCCCAGCATGCCAAAGGCTCCTAAGCCCCAACTCCAGACAGCGCCGTCGGCAGTTAGGGCGAGGCTGTGGCGGGCTCCAGCCGACACGCTCACGGCACGGAGAGGAGAGGGGAGGAGGGTCGGCGTGTTGAGCCGCGTCACGCCCTCGTCGTGCCCGAGCAGTCCTGGAAGGTAGGGCGCCCCTGAACCGCACGACGACAGCCGCCCCTCGCCGTCGATGAAGAGGCTGTGCCGTTCGCTTCCCGCCGCCCTCGCCGGCGGGTTGGACTCGCGAAGCAGCACAGCGAAGCACAGCCACTGCACGACGCAACGCTCGCCCTCTGGCAGCGCCGGCAGCTCGAAGCCGCGCTCCTGCGCCCACAAGCGGATGCCCTCCTCTGCAAGCGAGGCGTGAAAGAGCAGCGAGACGGGCGCGGCGCGAGCGATGTCGGCGGGGCTGTCGCAGCGAGAGAGGACGCGCTCGAGGAGCTCCCTGGGGAGGTCGAGGAGCCGGGCGGGCGGCGGCGCGTCTGGCGAGGGGGCGGCGGTGGCGGAGGTGAGGCTGCGCGAGCGGCGGCGCGGCGGGGGGGACATCGCAAAGAAAGAATTCGCCGCCCGAATTCGCGGAACTTATCGAAACCCTCCCCTCCCTCCCTTGTTTTGTCCGTTTTCCTTCTTTCTTTCTTATCGAAACCCATACATCCCACGGCGCGGGCGCAGGGGCGCAGGCCGGAGACGGCGCGGGCGCGAGGGCGCAGGCCGAGGTCGCCTTTGACGGAGGCGAGGTTCGGGCGCGCGGCGGGGAGCCGGAGATGTGCGCGCGTTCTTCCTCTGTCGCTCTCTGAACAGAAGATAGAGGAGGTCTCTCTCTCTCTGAACAGCACACCGAACGAACGAACTTTGCGGCCTGCTTTTCTTCATAAGTGCTAAGTTCGAACGGAGTTCACGTACGATTTGTTCGTTTGTGCCTCTCCTCGTTCTCTCTCCTCCTTCCTCTGCCTCATACATTTTTATTTTTTTTCTTTTTTGCACATCGGAATTCCGAGAATTATCCCCCCTGGCACATCGCATGCACACACAATTGGACGCCCGCACGCACACCACACTCGACTGTGGCACTGTGTTCGTCCTCCTAAAGCTTCTGTCTACTTCCTGCTACGGTAGTCTCCTGCTCTCCGGCCCCGCCCGCCCTGTCCACGCGCGCGCTAGGCGGGCAGTCACGACGGCCGTGTCATACCTCGCCACAGGTTCCACTTGCCGCCTGAGCCAAGCCCGCTCTTTTTCCGCCCGCTCTCAGGCGCGGTTTTGCTTACGAGATGGCTCCAACCTGTGTCTTCCTGTTTGCTGGCGAGGGTGCGCACTCCGCTCTGAGCGAGGATGAGCTGCGCGAGCTCACAAGCCTCCTCGCCTCCAGCCCCTCCTTCTCCCGCGTGGACGGGGCCCTTCGCGAACTCGTGTCTATGGGCGTCGAGCAGTTTCTGGCTGCCAATCTTGGCCGCCACTCCGCGCCGCACTCGCCCGTGGTGACGACGGTCCTCAACCTACTCCTCGCCGACATGTGGCGCGGCTGGGTCCGCCTCCCCCTCCCCCCACCCTCTCCCGCCGTCCATGGCCCGCCCGCTTCTCAGCCCGCGGCGCCGCTCTCCGCCTTCACCTCTCGCCGAGTTGACCATCGGGCCTCCCCCCGCGCCCTCAGGGCCACGAGCCACGCGTCGTCGTCGGGCACTCGGTCGGCGAGATCGCGGCGGCGCACGTGGCGGGCCTGCTCAGCGTCGAGGAGGCGCTGCGTGTGGCGCTCGAGACGGGCAAGGTCGCGGGCGCGCTGCCTGGGTCGATGGTGCACACGACCGTGCCGGAGGACCAGCTGCACCTGCTCCCCTCGGCCGAGATGCACCTCGCCGCCGTCAACTGCCGCGAGGGAAAGTCGCAGCTCTCCGTCTCCCTCTGCGGACCTCAGGAGGCGGCCGACAAGTGGCTGGCACGCGACGAGACGGCGGTCCGCCTCCGGCCCGCCCACCCGTGGCACCACCCGGCGTACGCCACCACGGAGGCGTTCGCCGCGTCGGAGTGGCCCGTCTCGCGCCCGGCCGCCGCGGGCGCCGCCACCTTCATCTCCGCCGTCCAGCCGGGCGCGTGCGACCTGCTGGACGGCGGCTACTGGCGCAAGTGGCTCACGTCGCCCGTCCAGTTCCAGCCCGCGCTCGAGGCGGCGGCGCGCGCCATCGCCGAGGGGGAGGGCGGCGAGACGTACGTCGTGCAGATCGGCGCCCACCCCGTCCTCTCCGGCGCGGTGAGCGCGCTCGGCGCCTCGCTCGCTCAGCACGGGCGCAAGCTGGCGGCGCAGTGCGCGAGCATGTGCCGCAAAGTTGGCGGCCTCCAGTACCTGCGCGAGCAGCGGGCGCTCCTCAAGGCCGCGGGGCTGCTCGACGCGCCTCTGCGCGCCGCCCTGGCGGAGCAGCTCGCCCAGGGCCGTCTCGACCTGCCCGAGACGCCCGAGCGCGGCCCGCTCCGCCCCGTGCCCGACGTGGCGTTCGCCGAGCAAGGCATCGCGTCGAGGATGCACGTCTTCCTCGCCGCGCGGCTCTCGGCCCTCTTCCCGGGCGTCGAGCCGCACGACCTGTACCGCTTCACCTCGCTCGCGCTCCTCGCCGAGCGGTGGGACGCGCCGGCGGATTCGGCCGCCGCCGCCCGCGGCGGCCGTGGCGCCGCGGCCGACACTAGCCTGGACGTGCTCGGCTGGGGCCTGCACCTGCCGCCCGACCTCCACTCGAGCGACGCCGTCTGGTCGGCGCTGCTGCGCGACGCGCGGGCGATCCGCGCGTCGCCGCGCGGCGCAAAGGGCGAGCTCCCCTCCGGCTTCCTCGACCCGCCCTTCGACGGCGCCGCCTCCAAGGCGGCGGCGCAGGCGTCGGGCGTCGACGCAGTCGAGGCGGGCGCGATGGACCCGCAGCACGGACTCGCTCTCAAGCTGACTAAGGAGATGTTCGAGCACTGCGGCGCGGAGGCGGAGGCGGCGGTGCTCGCCAACAAGGAGCGCGTCGGCGTCTACCTCGGCCTCTGGCAGGAGGCCAACGAGCACAAGCGCTCCGCCTTCGCCGCCATCGGCTCCTCGCTCTCGGCGATGGCGGCGCGAGTCGCAAACGCATACGACCTCCAGGGCCCGGCCACGACGGTCAACACGGCGTGCTCGTCCGCGCTCGTGGCCGTCGACGCGGCGATGCGCGACGTGCGCGCCGGCCGCGTCGACTACGCCATCGTCGGCGGCATCAACATCCTCGCCTCGGAGCAGCCCTTCGTCGACCTCAAGCGCGCGTCGATGCTCTCGCCGACGGCGCGCTGCCACACCTTCTCCGCCGCCGCCGACGGCTACGTGCGCGCCGAGGGCGGCGTCGTCTTCCTGCTGCGCTCAACCTCGGCACCGGCACCGGCGCTCATCCCGCGCGCCACCGTCATCGGCAGCGCGGTCAACCAAAACAGCCGGCGCAAGCCCATCACCGCCGTCGACCCGCTGGCGCAGGAGCGCGTGATCCGCGCCGCGTGCGAGGACGCCGGCGTGCTGCCGCGCGACCTCGCCGCCGTGGAGATGCACGGCACCGGCACCAAGCTCGGCGACCCGGTCGAGATCTCGGCGCTTGCCGCGGTGACGGCGGGCCCGGGCGCGCCGTGCACGCTCACCGCCGCAAAGATGCACTTTGGCCACCTCGAGTCGGCGGCGGGAGCGGTCGGCATGCTCAAGGCCGTCCTAATGCTCGAGCACGGCCAGATCCCGCCCTTCGCCGTCGACAGCCCCGGCGTCAACCCGGCGGTGCAAAAGGCGATGCTCGGCTCGCGGCTCCGCATCCCCGGGCCGGGCGGAGAGACCCTCGCGCCGGGCTCGCTCGTCGGCGTGAGCTCGTTTGGCTTCGCCGGCAGCAACGCCCACATCGTCGTGCGCGGCGTCGGAGGCGACGCGCCCGCCCCTGCCCTCGCCTCCGGCGAGCGGCAGCCTCCGCGGCAGGCCCCCGCCGTGACGGCGCCGCCGCCCCCGGCGGGCGACCAGGGCGGGGCTCCGGCTCCGCTGTCGGCCAAGTCGCCCGCGGCGCGCGCCGCCTCTCCGACCGTCGTGACGGTGAGCAAGATCTGCGCTGAGATCCTCGGCACGTCGGGACCTCTGAGCACGTCGGCCTCGCTGATGGACCTCGGCATCGACTCGCTCGGCTTCGCCGAGCTGGTGCTGCAGCTCGAGGGTGCGTTCGGCGACGGCGTCATCACGGTCGACGACATCATGGACGCGCCCTCCATCGGCCAGATCGCGGCCAAGCTCGCGGGAGGCGACGTGTCCGACACGCCGCACCTTCCCGTCGGCAGCACGCCCACCGCGCCGAGGGCGCCGCCGGTCCAGACGGCGGACACCACCAAGGCTGGTCAGCCTGCGCCCGCCTCGTCGACGGTCCAGTCCATCTGCGGCATCATCCTCGGCAAGCCCGCAAAGGAGCTCGGCCTGGACGCCTCGCTGATGGACCTCGGCATCGACTCGCTCGGCTTCGCCGAGCTGGTGCTGCAGCTCGAGGGCGCGTTCGGCGACGGCGTCATCACAGTCGACGACATCATGGACGCGCCCTCCATCGGCCAGATCGCGGCCAAGCTCTCGGGCGTCGCCTCGATCACCGTGACCGCCACCGCCCCGACCGCGGCGGTTCGTGCGGTCCACGACAGCCAGCGCCCCGCGCCCGTCAAGGACGGGCCCGCTGTCTCGCCCAACCCGCTGTCTTCGGCCTGGCCAACGAGCCCCGGCTTCCACACGCCGGCGACGCCGGCGGCCACGCCCCTCGCCGCGGGCGTCAACTCGGCGGTGCTCGAGCGGCTGAGCATGCTCGAGTCTGCGTGCAAGGAGCTGCGCTCGCTCGTCGTCGCCTCGACGCCGAGCGGCGGTGAGCTCCCGTCCCTGCAGCTCGCGCCCGACACCGCGGCGCTCGTGAGCCAGCCCGCCGCCGAGGCGCCAAAGCCCCAGCCCAAGCTCTGGATCCAGACGACGCACGTGGGTAGTCTGCCACGCGCGCCCAACGCGAGCGACACGGGCAAGATCATCAGCCAGCAGGTCGACGTGGGCCTCGACATCATCAACGACGGCGAGTGGAGTCGCGACAACTACGTCGCCGACATGCTCCAGCGCATCGACGGCGTCGGCCTCGGCGCGGGCGTGGTGATGAGCGAGGGGTGGTCGTGCGTCTGCGAGATGCCGTGCGCCACCGACATGCGCACCGTGCCCGTGTACGCGAACCGCTTCACCGGCGCGAATGGGCTCATCACGCTCAACCCGCGCCGCGTCGCGCAAGCCAACATGGCGTGCCACGCCCGCCCCACCTACGTGCTCTCCGGCGCGCAGCAGGTCCGCGAGACGGTGCGGCCGCTGCTCGAGTCGCTCGCGGCGGCGGGCCGCTCGCCGTCCGACTCGTTCTGGAGCGCGCCGTCGCCGGGCACGATGGCCGTCTTCTGCGAGGACCGCTTCTTCCAGGACCACGTGATGTACGTGCGCGCGCTGGCCGAAGCGATGCGGCCCGAGTACGAGGCGATCGCGGCGACCGGCCTGCAGCTGCAGATCGACTGCCCCGACCTCGCCATGGGCCGCCACACGCGCCACGCCGACCTGAGCGACGAGGCCTTCCTCGCCGTCGCGGAGGCGAACGTCGAGGCGCTCAACTACGCGCTCGAGAACATCCCGATGGAGCAGGTCCGCATCCACGTGTGCTGGGGCAACTACGCCGGCCCGCACCACCACGACATCGCCGCGGCCGAGATCTGGCCGGTGGTCGCCAAGGTCAAGGCGAAGTTCATCCTCACCGAGGCGGCCAACCCGCGGCACGCGCAGGACGCCAAGGCCTTTGAGGACGCGTGCGCGCGCGGCCTCTTCGAGGCGCCAAAGGTGATCGTCCCCGGCGTGATCGACACGACCGCCGCGCGGGTCGAGCACCCCGCCCTCGTCGCCGAGCGGCTGCTCCGCTTCGTCAAGGCGGTTGGTCACCCGTCGCGCGTTATCGCCGGGACGGACTGCGGGATGGCGACCACCGCAAAGTCGTCCGCCATCACGTCCGACATCGCGTGGCTCAAGCTCGAGGCGCTCGTCGAGGGCGCCGCGCTCGCCACCAAGATGCTCCTCGAGGTGTCTGCGCCCGTCCCGATGCCCGGGCCCAAGCTCAACCCGACGCCCTTCCGCGCCGCCGTCATCTGCGACGCGGCGAGCGCCGCGCCGTCGGAGCTCGTCGCCGAGCTGCAGCGGCGCACCTCCTCCACCGACCTCTTCGGCGCGTCGGCGGGCAAGGGCGTCGAGGCGACGGCGGTGGAGGCCTTCGAGAAGCTCCGCTGGGCGGTCGACTTCCCGCTCGCCGTCGTGGCCGTCGGGCCGATGGCGCAGTCGGCGGCGGTGCGGCTCGCGGCGCTGCTGCGCCAGGCGTCCTCGGGCGCCTCGCGCCGGCCGTGCGAGCTCTTCTTCGCCGGCGAGGCCGCGGCGAGCCCGTCCGGCGTGAACGCCGTCAAGGGGTCGCCGCCCGCGATGGCGACCGCCATCTCGACCGCCATGCTCGCAAACACGGGCTTCGACAAGCGCGCGCTGCTGCACGGCCGCAACGCCAAGCCGCTCCCCGAGGAGGTGGACGTCGTGGTGATCGGCGCCGGCCTGCTCGGCCTTATGGCGGCCGCGCGCCTAAAGAAGAACGGCCACAAGGTCGCCGTGCTCGAGCAGCGCTCCATCGTCGGCGGGATCTGGTCCATGTACGCCAACTCGACGTCGCAGGTCAACTCGTCCGAGGGCGGCTACAACATCAAGGACCTGCTGCCCGAGGGGAGCCCGCGCAAGGCGGCGGACAACCGCGACCACTCGACCGCGGCCGAGATCCTCAAGGACATCGCCGCCCTCGGCGACTCGCTCGCCGACGTCATCTACACGCGCGTGAGCGTCGCAAAGGTGCTCGGCACCAACGGCGACTACACGACCGTCGTCTCGGACCTCAACGCGGGCGACGAGGGCGCCGCCGCCGTCGTCCGCTCGACCGGCGTCGTGCTCGCCATCAACGACCGCGTCGGCCTGCCGCGCCCGCTGCGCGTGCCGGGCATGAACCGCTTCAGCGGTGTCATGGCGGACGGCACCTCGGACGCGCTGTCCGGCGTCTCGTGGCAGGGCAAGCGCGTCGTCGTCTTCGGCATGGGCGCCTTCGCCGTCGAGAACGTGCGCACGGCGCTCGAGAGCGGCGCCTCGCACGTGACCGTCGTCGCGCGCCGCCTCGGCACCATCTGCCCAAAGATGATCGACTACCTCAACTTCGTCAAGCCGTGGGACGAGCAGTACCGCCACGACCCGCTCACAAACATCAAGCAGATGAAGTGCTGGCGCGACTGCTACATCAAGTCGGGCGCGGTGGCGCCCGAGGTGTGGCCCGGCAAGGTGAAGCACGACGGCCACACCATCAGCGTGAGCGACATCTGGTTCGTCGCCCACCACCTCGGCAAGATGTGCACCAAGGTGGGCACGCTCGAGTCGATGGTCGAGGGCGGCTGCGTCCTCTCGGACGGCTCCTTCCTCCCGGCCGACATCGTGCGCCCTCCCCTTGCCCCACCCGCCCGCCGACGCCGCCGCGGGCTCCGCCCCATCCTCGCACCCTCACCGCCGCCGCCGCCCACGCCGCGCAGGTGGTTGGCTGCATCGGCTTCACGCGCAACACGACCTTCTGCGAGCAGCTCACCGGCCGGACCGTTGTGATGCACTCAAACTACCTCGACAAGAACATGATGTACCTCGCCGACGCCGAGATCGACGAGACGGCCTTCAACTCCTTCTTCGGCTCCTCCGTGCTCGAGTACGCAAAGTTCTACACCAACACCTACGTCCAGGCCTTCGAGCGGCCCGACGCGCTCGGCTCCATCCTGTGGGGGGCCGCCGTGAAGCGCACGCCCGTCTCGCTGCGCAAGTGGACGCAGTACATCGCCGTCGCTCAGGAGCTCATCGAGAAGGACACCACGATGCGCGGCCTCGCGGCCGACCAGGTCCGCGAGCGGACGAAGCACTTCTACCGCACCATGTCGCCCGAGGCCTTCCTCGAGGTGCGAGCGCCGCACTGGCGCCCCGCTGCCAGCCACGCCGCGTTTTCACACCTTGGCCCTGCTCGCATAGGTCAACCGCCTCGAGTGGGAGGAGCTGCACGAGCGGCTCAACGGCAGCCCGGTCAGCAAGGACAAGCAGCTGCCCTACCTCTTCGGCGCGGCGCCCTCGTGGTGCGCGCCGGCGAGCGAGGTGCTCCCGTGAGTGGCTCAGAGGGCCTCGGAGTGGTCCCACGCCAGAGCGCCAGCCGGTCGGAGCGACTTTGGCGCTCAGCGCTCTTGTACCATGAGTACGGTACGCGGACTCTCGTTAGTACGTACCCTCCAAGTGTTCGAATGAGATTGGAGATTGGGGGCTTTTGCCGAGGGAGAGAAAGAGAGAGCGAGTCGGGACGTGTGTCGCTGTCGGGAGAGACGGGCCGCGCGGCGAGGGCGACGTGTCAGATATCAGCTACGCCCCCTCCGGCTCCGCGCGGCGTGCTCCAGTTCAGTCCAGATCGATACTCACTCAAGTCTATGTAGGTTGCAGCTAAACGCGATATCCAGGATCGTGGGGGAATCTGCGCTGGGGGTGGGGCACACAAATCACAAAATTTGCGGCCCTCGCGAACCTCTGGGGGCTGGGGCCGGTGAGCGCGGTGTTGACGATGTGCCCGCCTTCCAAAAGCAAAACCACCTCTCCGAGACCTCCACCCGCCCTACTACTATCTTACAAGACAGTACATCAGTGACACAGGATACAAAGACTCCTCACAGCGATCGCGCAACGTCAAGTGGCTCACGCATCGTCAAGCTACAAACAAAGACTCCTCACAGCGATCGCCACCAACCTCGTTGCGGCACGAGCCCACCCGGTAGCGCCCTCGCCCCTCGAACCCCTCGCGCAAGCTCTTGACGGTGGGCGCCGCGCCTTCTCGGAGGGAGAGCACCAGAACCGAGTCGAAGTCGACGTCGCTCCAGCAGCGCCTGCAGAGATGGGAGGCGCAGCCGAGCTCCTGGAGCAGCCACGGGACCTGGCAGTGGTCCCAGCTGAGGAGGATCACCGAGCCAGGCGGGTGCTCGCGCCGAGAGGCCAGCGCAGCCGCAAGCGCAGGCACCTCCTCCTTGGCCAGCGTGGCATTGACTCGCAGCCCAAAGCGCTGTGCAGTCGGCCAGAGCATCCAGAGGTCGCGATCTGCATAGTCCGGTTCAGCCTCAGCGGGCCGCCGGGCGAAGATGTGCGTCGGCGGCGGCAGCATACTACCGAACAGCTGGGCGAGAAACGCGCCGTGCTCATAGCCGCGTGCCGTGCAGAAGCCTGGCGCAGTCGCGTTGGCCACCTTGTCGCAGTGTCGCACGACGATGAGCTGCGTCGTAGCTGCCGCCTCGGTCATGTACCACGGCGTCATGGGTGCCGGTTCACCCGCGCCCTCGAGCGTGGTGCGGGCGAGGGCGCCCAAGGCAGTGGCCGCCACGATGGCAGTGGCGCTGCTGAATGCGGCCAGGCAGGCGAGCGTCGACCCGCTGCAGCGGCGAGGAGCAATCGCGCTGACGCTTGCGAGGCTTGGTCCGCTGCGTGCACGGTCGTGAAGGAATGGCTCTTTCATCGGCGCAAGGGAGCGGCTGAAGGACGCAGTGCAAAGAATTGGACCCACGATGTGCGGGTGAGGCTCCAAGGCTCCGAACGAGCGGCTGAACGGTGTGGAAAAAGAAAAACTGTTGGGAAAAATAAATTTTCCGACAAACCGCGGTGTGCCGCTGCGCTACCGTGCCCACAGTGTGCCCCGCACCCCGCCCCGATGTGTGCAAAAAGGTTCAGACGGAGATCGACAGTCGGATTCAGGCAACGTTCGCCCCCGAGTCCCAGGGAACGCTAGCGCGACGCGCCTCCCTTCACACTACCGCGCCCGCGCCCGCTCCCGGCGGCCACGCCTCGACCTTCTTGGGCAGCAGCTGGTTCGCCAGGTTCTCTCCGTGGCCTAGGCAGCTGTGCTCTCCCTCGCCCCAGCTCCAGACAGCTCCGTCGGCGGTGATGGCGAAGCTGTGACCATCGCCAGCCGACACAGCGACGACGCGCTGGTCAGCAAAGGCATCGATCTTCTTCGGTAGCAGCTGGCGCTGCTCGTCGCCATGGCCCAGCCGGCCAAAGCCTCCAAAGCCCCAGCTCCAGACAGCGCCATTGGCGGTGAGGGCGATGCTGTGCTGGCGTCCAGCCGAGACAGCGACGACGCGCCGGCCAGCGAAGGCCTCGACCTTCTTGGGCAGCAGCTGGCCCTGCTGGTCGTCGTGGCCCAGCTGGCCAAAGCCTCCAGCGCACCAGCTCCAGACGGCGCCATCGGCGGTGAGGGCGAGGCTGTGGCGGGCTCCAGCCGACACGCTCACGGCACGGAGAGGAGAGGGGAGGAGGGTCGGCGTGTTGAGCCGCGTCACGCCCTCGTCGTGCCCGAGCAGTCCTGGAAGGTAGGGCGCCCCTGAACCGCACGACGACAGCCGCCCCATGCCGTCGATGAAGAGGCTGTGCCGTTCGCTTCCCGCCGCCCTCGCCGGCGGGTTGGACTCGCGCAGCAGCGCAGCCAAGCACAGCCACTGCACGACGCAACGCTCGCCCTCTGGCTGCGCCGGCAGCTCGAAGCCTCGCTCTTGCGCCCACAAGCGGATGCCCTCCTCCGCAAGCGAGGCGTGGAAGAGCAGCGAGACGGGCGCGACGCGAGCGATGTCGGCGGGGCTGTCGCAGCGAGAGAGGACGCGCTCGAGGAGCTCCCTGGGGAGGTCGAGGAGCCGGGCGGGCGGCGGCGTGTCTGGCGAGGGCGCGGCGGCGGCGGCGGAGGAGGCGAGGCGGCGGCGTACAACGGGGTGGACATCGCGAGAAAAAGAATTTTCATTCCCGCGCCAAGTGTGCCCGCTCAGGGGAAGAGACCGCAGGAGAGAGAACGACGAGAGTGGGAAGAACGCGAGGTGGCATGAAGGTCGCTGCGAGAATTGGTGAGAAACTGCGGAGAGAGATAGGAAGTGGTAGACGCCCGAGGGTGGGCGACGGCTAGCACCACACTCCTCTCCTTAAAAATCCCTGTGTGGTGGCGGCGTGCCGTCCTCCCATCCCTCCCTTGGGGTGTCTGTTTTCTTTCTTTCTTTCTTTGCCCGCTCAGAGGGACACCACGAAAGCATTTCATGAGATGTCCCGTGCAGGTGAATGAACTTCTTTCTTGGCCAAAGTACAGGTTTCGATCCGGGCCACCGCAAATTTTGATCAGCAAATTTCGAGGGGCGGCCGCAAATTTTGAGGTAGATTTTGATTGTCAAAATGTGTCCGTCTTGGCACAGGATAGAGCATATAGGCGGCGAACACCCAGGTAGTGCGCAGGGACATCGCGCGACTCTGCCCGCTCGCTCGACCCTTTTGCCGCGAGAGGGCGCCGGCCGCGTGTAAGGAGGTGGCTGGCGCCCTGAGGCGGCAATTGGTGGCGTGGGGAGTGCGGAGAACGCTACTGGCGGCGCGACAGGGCCTCTCTCGGTTGCGTGTGCCGCCCATCGGCACGCGGGTGCGCAGACATCGCGACTCTGCCCGCTCGCTCGACCCTTTTGCCGCGAGAGGGCGCCGGCCGCGTGTAAGAGGTGGCTGGCGCCCTGAGGCGGCAATTGGTGGCGTGGGGAGTGCGGAGAACGCTACTGGCGGCGCGACAGGGCCTCTCTCGGTTGCGTGTGCCGCCCATCGGCACGCGGGTGCGCAGACATCGCGACTCTGCCCGCTCGCTCGACCCTTTTGCCGCGAGAGGGCGCCGGCCGCGTGTAAGAAGTGGCTGGCGGCCTGGCGCCCTGAGGCGGCATTTGGTGGGGTCAGCGTGCGGTGCTGAGTCTTACTCGTCGGCGCTGGGGCCAGATCCCAGCGCAGAACCCTGCAACGCTGGCATATACAGACACAACCAGACAACCCTGACCCAACCCTAACCCTAACCCTAACCCTAACCCTAACCCTCTAACCCTAATAACCCTAACCAACCCACCCCCCAACTCCACACCGCAAATTTGAAAGATCTTGATGAAAATCAGGCCCGACTGCAAATTTCTTCAAAATTTTCGCAGGCGCTCCGCGCCTGCAGATTTTGAAATAAATTCGACAAAATTGGTACCTGGCCCAACTTCTTTCTTGCTACAACCTCGAGCTACAACCACCCTACAGCCTCACCGCTTTCGAACCAAAAAGTGATCGACCACCCTCGCCTGCAGCTCGGCAGTCAGCCCGCGCCGCCGCCGCCGCCGAGCCTCACGCGCCGACCTCTGCTCGATCCAGCGGCTCGGGTTGCGCCAACGATAGGCGGGCCGCTCGGGGCCGCCGCCGCCCGCCCCTATCGCCTGAGCCTCCGCCTCGGCCTCGGCCTCCTCCGCCTCCTGGACGTGGTTCCCGTCGAGCACCCACCGCGAGGGGCACTTGTCTACTCCGACGGCGAAGAGCTCGAGGTCGCCGTCGGAGCGCACGCGGAGGCGCACAAAGTTCTTGTAGCCCGTGTGCTGGAGGCTCGAGAAGCCCTCGTTCCAGTGGATGCCGAGGTAGCGCACCGAGAGCCACAGGTAGAGCGAGAAGACAAAGGAGACGACCGGGCAAGCTAAGCACCAGTACCAAGCCATGCGCAGCAGCCAGTAGAAGGTAGCGAGCGTGTCTGGCGCAAAGGCGGGGTGCGAGGGGTGGCCCAGAAGCAGGTGGTCTCTGTTGCTTGTGGTGTCACAGAGCTGCTCGCGGAGGATGCTCTGCGTCTGCGCCGAGTCGGCGAGCAGCATCGAGGCGCGAAGCACCTTTGGCACGACGCCATTCGTCCAGTTGCCGAGGTGGGCGATCGTCGTCGCGGCGTCGCCCTTGGTGAAGAGGTCCCACTGCAGGTCGAGGCCGCCCTGGCCAAGGTTGCCGTACACGCGGAGGACGGCGATTAGGTAGTCGATGAAGACCGTGACCGCCGCCGCGCTGTAGAGGTGGGCGGCCGCATGTGCGCCGCCCAGCCACAGGCGCACCCCGAGCTTGTCGTGATCCACCGAGCAGACGCAGATCGAAAAGAAGGCGACGAAGGCGAGGAAGGCGAGGGAGGAGGATGTGAGGATGCGCGGCGCCGCCACGCCCATGCAGTCTCAGGTGGTGGAGCGACACAGACAGATATGTAGGATCGAAGGTGAAGAGCAGCCAGGCTCGGACACCAGCGCCCAAGACGCCGCCCCGCCCGGGGCTTCGACACGCTGTGCATATCGAGGAGCCGGAATCCGAGCTAGAGTTGCGTTTCGTCTCGACGCAAACCGGTCACCCCAAAGCATTAGCCAACCCACACATGCCCGCCCCTTTGGAGTCGCCTGGGCCAGCAGAGATGGAGCAGCTGTCTGATAACTCGTGGGTCATGGTGGCCGAGTGGTCGGCGACGCGCGACGAGTGGGAGGCGCCGCGGCAGCCGAGCC